GATCTCCCTTTTTTTCAAGTTATACTTTTTGTTTGCATATCCCTTTTTATCCTTAGATTGATTAAAGGTAGGGCCTCCCTTCCGCATTTCTTATACAGTGGAGCTCTCCTGATATTGGTTTCCCCTTGTGGGACTCTACACATCACCTACTCCTATTACCTACATATTTTGGAGGGTTACCCCCTCATTGGAGCTCCCTATTAGGTGGTTACAGTGGTGCAGCTCATGAGCCCTTGACTTGTATCCGGACTCCTGACCTGCACTCTGTTTACTTTATTTCTCCATTTTGTGTTTCACTATGACCATTTAGACAGTGCTGAAACATTGCTCTCCACATGGTCCACACTTGTTTGGCAGACTTCCACCTTGGGTGGTGCCAATGTTGTGCCAACAATGAGAGGTATGTAATCAGGACTAGGTGGGTAGCCTCCAAAGGCGATGTCACCACTGACAAGCTGTCTGGCTGGCCCCCGGTGCTGAAGCATTCCGTGCACGGTTATTGTGCCCACTGCACAGCGCAAGGGCATATAATGTACAAATGCAGTAGACCAGGGATCTGAAGCAAGACGATAAGACAGTATGCTGAAACCACTACGATCCTGCTGAAAGTGGAACTGTTGAGAGGCCAATGTGAGTGTGGGGGTGAGGCAAGGAATTACTTTTCCTTCCCCCCCAAAACAGACTGATTGGATAAATAGCACTGATGGAGGAGTGCAGGAATAAAAACATATTCTTAGTAAAAGTTAGTATAAGTATATTGTTTAATTTATTATTACGAACAGGATGAATGGTGATGGATCAAACATGAAGAGAATGAAGAGGCACTTGCAGTTATAGGGTTACTCTAAGCACCAAGACCACTTCAGAAATTTGTGCTTGAAACACTGACATACTGAGTTATCTACATGTGTGATGGGTGCTAGTTGCACCTCCAGCACACGTGATATTGGTTCCAAGCTGTTAATGTCAATTCTGGCAGACTGAAATGAAGCTTGAAAGAGGGGACTTGTGGGAATATTGATCTTTGCCCAAGATTACCTTTCATTTTGTGAAGACATGCATTATTATTAATAATCGTAACTTAACAGGGCAACTTTGTTAGCACTTTATTCCTTACTACAATAATTTTTATTCTTTGTATATGAGAAATACCTCTCCCTATTCAGATCTAAAGCAGTACGCATGGCTAAATTATTTTCATTTTTTAAATTTGGACGACTGACATTATCCATTTGACCATTTTTGCTCGTCTGAATTTTGTCAATAAACCGTTTCGGGAAAAACCAACCAAAAGGGCATGAAAATGTACTCCAAAATATATACATATTATTTATATGTTTATGTACTTTTAGTTTGCACCTTTTTATTGAAGCTAATTTTGATCAGAATTCAGTTGACCGAATTCCAGCCAAGTTGATGGTATTTGAAATGCAGTCCACATTCAGTCAATATTTGGCTTTTGAGCATCAGCTACTTTTCAACATTCTGTTATGTATTTTAACCATTTGGTCTAACTGATACCTGGTTTACTTTTTATTTGATTGAATAATTTATCTGATTTAGCAGCTGTCCCTTAAACATTAAACATCTCTTTTTTTTTTTTCTTTTGCCAAATTACGAAAAAAAAACTAACTAGCTAGTCCATAGCCTGATTTGGCTGTTGCCTGATTTGGTCAGGTGGCAATTTAGAGTTAGAGAATTCAGATGACCCACCGATCGGCTAAAATTTGGATTAAATTAGTTATAGTATTTATAGACATAACAGGTTAGAAATTAATTAAAACACATATTTTGTGTTAAATGAGCAACTAAGGCTTACAAAAGCAGTTTATTGTGAATTATTATCAAAACAACATTTAAACCCCTCTCTGGATAGGTTAGACATAAATTAAAACACAAATTTAGCGTGATATACGTAACTAAGGCTTATGAAAGTAGTTTATTGTGAATTATTTTCAAATCACATTAAAACCCGTCTCTGGAATAACACATATACTCAAACATATTATTGCCAGGGCCGGACTGGGGATACAAAGCAACCCTGGAAAAAAATTTTGTGCCAGCCCCATAAGTCACTGCGCCATATATTGTCGCGTGTAATATGTAAGGCTATGTCTTGCCAGGACAGATGATTGAGTATATATATATATATATATATATATATATATATATATATTGCTTTTTCTAATATAAAATATTGGTCCTTTCAGGGTAAAACGTTTAATTATACAGTAAGCATACGCACATGCAGACACAGGCAATTTCACTGACATTTCAGTGACACACACAAGCTCATTGATACACAGCCTCATAGACAAACAATCTTAGTGATATACATCAGCTCACTGACATAAAAACACAAGCTCACTCACTAGCAGGCACACGCATGCAAGCAAGCTCACTCACTAGCAGACGCACACACACAGCTTAATGTGGTGGTACTGGTGTCTAGCATGTCCCTACAGGCTTTTCAACGTAAACACTGACTTTTCAGACAAAAGGCAGTGTTTACATTGCTTCAAAGTGACACTGCTAGTGACAGTCACTCAGACGGTCACTAGAGGTGCTTCCTGTGTTAGTGCACCTACATTCAGGGCCTCCACACTCTGTAGGTGCTGAACGTTCCCCATAGAGATACATTGATTCAATGCATCTCTATGAGGAGATGCTAATTGGAGTGGCGTTTTGCAGCCAATCCTATGGCAAAGCATTGGATTGGCTGAGATCATCAAGCTTGAGATCTCAGCTATAGAGGCAGGGCCAGTCGAGGGAGACCAGCACGCTGCCTGGGGAAAAAAAAAAGGTGAGCAAAAACACTATTTTTAAACACACATTTACACCATGACAGACACAGAAACACACATATACCATGACAGATACACACCCCATGAAAGACACACACACACACCATGACAGACCATAATACAAACAGACACACACCATGACACAGACAGACACACACCATGACGGACAGACACACACACACACACACCATGAATGACAGACAGACACACAAACACACACACCCCATGACGGACAGACAGACACACACACCCCATGATGGATAGACAGACACACACACCCCATGACGGACAGACAGACAGACACACACACACACCATACAGACAGACACCATGACACAGACAGACACACACACACCATACAGACAGACAGACACCATGACACAGACAGACACACACACCATACAGACAGACACCATGGCACAGACAGACAGACACACACACACACCATACAGACAGACAGACACCATGTACACACACACCATACAGACAGACACCATGACACAGACAGACAGACACCATGACACAGACAGACACCATGACACAGACAGACACACACACACCATACAGACAGACACCATGACACAGACAGACAGACAGACACACACACCATACAGACAGACAGACACCATGACACAGACAGACAGACACATACACACACACCATACAGACACCATGACACAGACAGACAGACACCATGACACAGACAGACACCATGACACAGATAGGCAGACACACACACACCATACAGACAGACACATACACACACCATACAGACAGACACCATGACACAGACAGACAGACACATTACTTATACCTGCCAGGGGGAGGTCTTCTGGGGGCCGCTGGGGGACTTTTACCGCTGGGGAGGTCTTCTGGGGGCATCTGGGGGACATGTCCTGTCGGCCGCTGGGGAGGTCTTTTGGCGGCCGCTGGCGGACTTGTCCTGGCGGCCGCTGGGGCAGCTGTGCTGGCTCTGCCTTCCCGCGCTGCTGAATGAGACCGGCGCCGGAATATGACGTCATATTCCGGCGCCGGTCTCATTCAGCTGCGTGCTGGGGAGCAGAGCCAGCGCAGGTCGCGCAGCTCCCCCAGCGGCCGCCAGGACAAGTCCGCCAGCGGCCGCCAAAAGACCTCCCCAGCGGCCAGGGGAGGGCTGGCAGCCTTAGGCCTGGGGGGCAAAACCAGTCAAGTGGCCTATTGCACCACCAAATCAGTTCACCATCCATGCCCACCTTTTCCTGGATTTATAACGGATATTGATGTTATGCTAATCAGTAGTTCTTTGCCATACCCGCTCCTTCACGGCTCCAGGCACTGCTTGTTGTGAGTGTGAGCCACTGTAAATTAGGGGCAGAGGGCACTTGCACTGCGGTAAAGACAGGTCTGGGCAGGAGGAGAGTTCAGTGCAATCAGTGCACTCCCCTCCTGTGGGTAACCAGTAGACTGGTGCATCTGCCCAGGATCAGAGCCGGTGCAAGGATTTTTGCTGCCCTAGGCAAAAGAAAAATTTGCCGCCCCCCCATGTGACATCACAATGCCCCACCCATATGATCTGCCATATGAACTAACGCCAGTGCTGCACACAGTGTGTGCTTACATTAAAAAGCCTGCAGGGACCAGCTATAGACACCAGAACCACTTCATTAAGCTATAGTGTCCCTTTAATGTGAGGTCAATTATAGATTAGTGTCACTAATAATATACTAGATTGCCTACTTACAAGCAGATGAGGGATGATGATGGGCTGCAGTTTGGCTCCACTGGTCTGGTGTAGAACAGGATCTCTGGAGGCTGTTTGCAACTGTGGTCACAAAATTCAATGTTCTGGGAGAATTGGAAGCAGCTCAATTTTTTTGGGGCCCCCTACACAGCTCAAGGTCTGGGCCCCAGGGCCTGACGGTGAGTATGCCCATAAGGCCCACTCATAAGTTCCACCCACCCATGAGTTCGCTCACAGGGAGTGGAGTGTGTAGGGGATGTGTTATGTGTTATTGTAGAGGATCTAATATGTGTGCTTATGGTATGTAGTGTTTGGGGTTACCAGTTTGTGCAGGTGATGCAGTGTGTTTGTGTGTAGTGGAAGCAGTGTGTATTTGTGTATAAGGGATTTGTGTATAAAGGATGTATTATGTGTTTCTGATTGTGTGAATCTGTGTTTGTATGCATAAGGGATGCAAGGTGTGTGTCTGTATGTGTGTGCATGAGATGTATTGTGTTTCTGTGTGTATGTAAGAAAAGAAGTGTGTGTGTTTGCATGCGTGTGTACGGGTTTGCATTGTCTGTTTCTGTGTATGTGTGCAAAGGATGCATTGTCTTTGTGTGTAAGGGTTGCATTGTGTGTGTGTGTGTAATGGATGCATTGTGTGTTTCTCTGTGTGTAAGGGAAGTATGTTGTGTTTCTGTGTATGTA